TGCACTCGCTCCCTAATCGTCTCATTTCTCACCTTGTCCATTATTGTCAACCCCAACGACCACCTCAACATTTTCATCTCTGCTACCTGCATCCTCTCTTCTTGGACCTTCGTCACCGCCACTGTTTCCATTCCGTACATCATTGCCGGCCTCACCAACGTCTTATACAGTCTGCCTTTTACTTTCTCTGGCACGTTCTTGTCACACATGACACCTGTGATCTTCCAAGCTCCCCACCCTGCCTGGATCCTTTTGGTTACCTCCTTGTCTGAACCACCATCCTCTTGCACTATAGAACCCAGATACTTGAACTCCCTCACCTGTGCTATTGCCTCTCCTTGTAGCTTCACTTCAGTGTCCTCTTCGTTGTCACCGCCTTCCCCTTTAGCTTTTGCCTACTCACTTTCATACCTCTGTCCTCCATTGCACCCTGCCACAGTTCCAGTCTCTCTTCAATTTTATCCCTCCTGTTCCCACACACCACGACATCGTCCGCAAACAGCATATCCCATGGCGCCTCCCTCTGCACTTCTTGGGTTAGACAGTCGATTATGATCACGAACAGGAAAGGGCTGAGTGCAGAGCCCTGATGCAGTCCAACCGCAAACTCAAAGACCTCCGTCTCTCCTGCCGCACATCTGACTTGGGTCTGACACCCTTTGTACATGTCTTGGATGAGGCGAATGTGCTTTTCTCCCACCCCTTTCAGCCGCAGACTGTTCCATATTTCCTGCCGGGGTACCCGATCGTATGCCTTTTCTAGGTCGATGAAGATACAGTGCAGGTCTTCTTGGCCATCCCTGTACGTTTCCATCAGCTGTCGCAGCGCAAATGTGGCATCAGATGTGCTCCGTCCTGGCATGAAACTGAACTGCTGTTCTGACACTGTCACCCTGGTTCTCAGTCTTTTGTCAATTATCCTTTCCCACAGTTTCAAAGTGTGAGATGTGAGCTTTATACCACGGTAGTTTCCGCAATCCTGGATATCACCTTTGCTCTTATAAATAGGGATCAGAGTACTATTTCTCCACTCATCAGGCATCCGCTCTGTCTCCATGATCTTCTCACACACTTCTGTCAACCATCTAATTCCTGTCCAACCCAGCACTTTCCATGCTTCAACCGGGATATCGTGTGGGCCTCCCGCCTTTCCTCTCTTCATCTTCTTCATGGCCTCCTCCACCTCTCTTTCGCTGACCCTATTTACCTCTTGTTCCTCGGCTGGTTCAATCTCCCTCTCTATCCTCGGGTTTTCCTCATTTATAAGATGCTGGTATTACTCTTTCCATCTCTCTCTAATTTGTGTGTCATCTGTCAATACTTGTCCATTCCTGTCTTTCACCATCTTTGCCTGGTATACATCTTGGGATTTCTTGTTTCTCTGTTTCGCCAGTCTGATCGCTTTCTGCTGCCCATCTGGCCCCTCTAGGCTGTTGTACAGGTCCTCATATGCTGCTCTCTTTGCTTTTGCCACTGCTTTCTTAGCATCTTTATTTGCCTTCTTATATGCTTCAATTGTTGCCTCACATCTATTTAGGTCCCTGTCTCTCTTCCTTTCCCTTTTTACTTTGATTGCCTCCTGGACTTCCTCGCACCACCACCATGTTCCTTCTTTCTTTCCCTTCTTTCCCGATGTTACTGTCATAACCTCCTTCGCAACTTCCTTCACAGCGGTACTCAACCTCTCCCATGATATCTCTTCTGCACCCATCTTTCTTTCCAATTTCTGGACAAACTCTTCTCGATGTACTTTTGAGTTCAACTTCCACCATCGAGTCTTCGGAATGCTGTATGTTTTCTGTTTCTCTTTAGTCTGCAGCATCGCTTTACAGATCACTAGCTTATGCTGTCTGGCTATCGCTTCCTTTGGCAATACGTAGCAGTTTTGAACTCTCTTTAGTTCCTCCCTCCTGCGCATGATGTAGTCGGCCTGTGTGTTTAGCCCTCCGCTGGAATAAGTGTGGCAGTTACGAGTGGCAGTTATGAATGACAGTTATGGATAACAGTTATGAATGGCAGTTATGAGTGGCAGTTATGAATGGCAGTTATGGGTAAATTGTGTATTTTCTTTCTGAATTAGTTGTGTGCAGTGTGTATGTATGGAGATACCAACAAATCTATCTATGCAACCAAAGTAGACCCACGCACATGTAAAAAAAAAAAAAAGGTAAACATATCCCCAGACATAAACATGTACATACAGGATTCTGCCATTTAAGCCACATCTATGAATCGCACAGACATAAACGAGAGACATTTGAGAATTTTAATTGTGGAGAAATAGGCTTAGACTATAAATTCATAGAAGAAAGTATAAAGCGTCATCAACAAACATCGAAATTTAAACGAGAAAATCATACAATACCGATTTTTTACAGATCGACCCGATGCATGGGAAGGCGTCACATGCGCTCTTAGCGGCCCCTCGTGGCACTCTTCAGACGAAATACTCAGTCTCTCACCGATAAGTGCAGAGACGCGATGCCCGCAGAGGACGTGCACTCCCTGTTCACACGAGGTCCGTCCTTTTCCGTATTCTGTGCACTTGTTATTGTGTTGCCTTCCTTCTCCTGTTTTCGCTTTGTACTTCTTTCCCCTCGTTCATTCCTGGGATTTCGTTACACCGCCCGTTTGCTGCACGTCTTTTAGTTTCCCACAAGAGAGAGAACAAGATAAGCTCACTTTGCTTTTTTTTAATATCACTTCCGATATACTTGAGAATATCACACTTTTCGGGTATTTGTTTTCCAAATTTATTTAATCATTCTTCTCTTCTCTCCCTCTCTCTCTCTTTTTTCTTCAGTGCTTCTCTTTCTACTTATTTATTTATTTCCAGCCCGCGAATGATACTGATAAAATCGCACTACAAGAAAAATCATTATAAGAAAAAAATGGTGAACTTTACTGGGCACTTTTTAAGGCCACTTTATTGTTTTCCCCTCGGCAGGAACTTTCTAAGGGGGAGGGGGAGGACGACTAACTGGCCCTTTAAAAATACGGAGCAGCTGTCAGACTTCTCGTTTCCTCTTTTTAAATAAATGACCAGACAAGCCCCGAAGTGGAGTCTCTTTCTGGGTCCGAATTCTCCCTCCCATTCGCTTCTTTTCACCTGGCGTCGTAGCCGCTTCTGCCGTGAGGGGGGGACCCGAGCGCCGCTGCAAGGGGACAACGGAGCACAGAATTGCGAGGCACAACCTGCCAGATAGTTTCCCTCGAAAGAACACAAAATAGAAATCAGATCATGTCGTGGAGTCAACACCAGCGGCTGACACCTTAGGGAGATAGCGTCCTACGTCGCTGCATGCTGGAGGGAAGGGCGAGGAGAGCGGAGAGCGGGCAGGGGCGCGGGACGGGTACTGGCGCGCGTGCTGCGCAGGGGCTCGCAGCCGTATGAGGCTCCGGCCCAGAGGAGGAGAAAACGCGGGCAGCCTCCTTCCCTTTTAACGTGCTCTGTATGATTTAATGGTGTCTGTTCGCTTATCAAAAGTTCTGTTAAATTGTTATTTCTACCCTCGCACGCTAATGCTCTCTCTCTCTCTCTCTCCCTCTGTCTGTCTGTCTCTCTCTCTCTCTCTCTCTCTCTCTCTCTCTCTCTCTCTCTCTCTCTCTCTCTCTCTCTCTCTCTCTCTCTCTCTCTCTCTCTCTCTCTCTCTCTCTCTCTCTATGTTTATCTGGTTGGGTTGGGGCTCAACCGAGGATATAGATGTAAGGTTCCAGGCCAACGGCACGCTGCCACCACCCGATTAGTAGGTTCGGGAAACCTGTGTTTTGTGTTCTGGGGTGCGAATGTTTTTTATGCGAAGGGTGGAAGGAAAATACAGAGTGTGCTGAAAGTTGGATGTGTAAGTGTGTAAGTGTGAGGACGTGTTTGGAACATGTTAGCCATTTTATCTTAATTTTCCACAAGGTCAGACAGGAATCAGTCGAGGCAACACATTACGACGTGTGGAAAGGTGCTGACGAGTGAAATTGTTTAAGATCTTTCTCATAGAAGGAACGGATCCTCAAGATTGAAGGAAAGAGAAGAAGAAAAACTTCCTCCTAAGCTCTCTAACACCTGGACTTACTAAGTATGGATTCGGGACTTCATGAAAGAGAGTGCATTCTGCAGATGGCAATGCATGTCGCAGGTCTAAATCAATTGGAAGCAGGACCAATGTTCAAGACAGAAGTCAGGACCGAAATGTCTTTCCTTCCCCAAAACCATGGGGACTTATACCCCGAAAGACACCCCCGGCCACGCCCCAGGCAAGGAGCGAAAAAATAGGAAAAGAATGTGACGACCATCACCCCTTTCATATATCATATATATGTGTGTGTGTGTGTGTGTGTTTGTATATATATATATATATATATATATATATATATATATATATATACATATATCAACATTTATATATATATATATATATATATATATATATATATATATATATATATATATATATATATATATTATGATGATCATCAGCATTATTAATATTATCATTATTGTTATTATTATTACTATAACTGTTATTATTATTTTCATTATTATTGGTATCGATATTACCATTATCATTGTCATTATAATTATCATTATTACCATCATTATTGTGATTATTATTACTACTACTATTATCATTATTATTATTTTTTATTACTATTGACATTATTACTATTACTACTATCATTATTAGTTTTATTATTACCATTATCATTATCATTATCATTATTATCATTATGATTATGATTATTATCATTATCATTATTACTTTTATTGTTATTATTATTATCATTATGATTATCATGATTATCATTATTATTATCATCATTAACATTATCATTGCTATTGTTGATCTTGCTGTTATTATTATTATTATTATCATTATATTTGCTATTATAGTTATCCTCACTTTTGCTTGGTTATCGTTATTTTTGTAAATATTTTCCTTCTCATCATCATTATCGTTATTGTTGTTGTTCTCTTTGTTGTTATTATCATTATCATTACTACTGTTTACATTATCATTATCATTACTGCTGTTTTCATTATCATTATCATTATAATTACTGTTATCACCAATGTCATTCTTGTTGTTGTTGCTGTTGTTGATGTTATTAACATGATTAATATTGCTATCATTATTTCTTTATCGTTATTATTTTTGTTGTTTATCATTATTGTAATGATTGTGATTACAGTACTAATACTAATTCTAATTCTAATACTAATACTAATAACAATAGTAATAATGATAATCATAATAATGATAATAATAATGATAATAGTAATAATAATAATGTATACTACCACTGTTTTTGTTAACATTACAATTATTTCTCTCCTTGTTATTAAACTTTTTATTATTATCTATCATTATCATCATCATCATTATCATTATTATTGTTGTTGTTATTATTATCATTACTATTATTATCTTCATTATTGTAATTTTTGTTATTATTGTTGGTATTGTTATTGTCATTGTTTTTATTATCTAATCATCATTATCGTTATTGTTGTTGTTCTCTTTGTTGTTATTATCATTATCATTACTACTGTTTACATTATCATTATCATTACTGCTGTTTTCATTATCATTATCATTATAATTACTGTTATCACCAATGTCATTCTTGTTGTTGTTGCTGTTGTTGATGTTATTAACATGATTAATATTGCTATCATTATTTCTTTATCGTTATTATTTTTGTTGTTTATCATTATTGTAACGATTGTGATTACAGTACTAATACTAATTCTAATTCTAATACTAATACTAATAACAATAGTAATAATGATAATCATAATAATGATAATAATAATGATAATAGTAATAATAATAATGTATACTACCACTGTTTTTGTTAACATTACAATTATTTCTCTCCTTGTTATTAAACTTTTTATTATTATCTATCATTATCATCATCATCATTATCATTATTATTGTTGTTGTTATTATTATCATTACTATTATTATCTTCATTATTGTAATTTTTGTTATTATTGTTGGTATTGTTATTGTCATTGTTTTTATTATCATTATTATTATTATGTTATTACTATTACTAAAATTATTATTGTTATTATTACTATTATTATTATTATTATCATTATTATTATTATTATTTTTTTAGTATCATTATTATTACAATACTATTATTGTAATTATTATTCTTTATTAACGTAATTGTTATTTAAGTTATTATTATTAGTAGTAGCAGTAGCAGTAATAATATCATTATTGTTGTTGTTATTATTATCTAATGATAATAATAACAACAACAATAATGATACTATTACTGCTACTGCTACTACTAATAATAATAACTTGAATAACAATTACCCATTCGCGCCGGGTGTCACGTATACGTGACGGACCCACCGTGAGTTTACTTGTTTAATTGTTTTCATACATAGATGGCTACACTTGTACTTGTACTGCCTGTCTCTCCTGTTCACCCTTTTCTTTAATTTACGAAAATATCTTACGTTATCTTATTTTGCTGTTACTAATATTTATAACATTAAAGTAATTATAATGTTTATAATAAAAATAACCATCGATATTCATAGCACTAGTAAAAATACATTTTCCCGTCAATTCAAGTAAAGGTGAAATCAGGTAAGGCAGAACCATCTAGTGTAGAGACATTTCATTAAAAAATATAAAAAATGAGCACAGCATTTTCCCCATTTTTTGTTCATTTTAACCAGGCGCGAATGGGTTAACCTTGGAGAGCAACACAAGGCTGCACAGGCTATGGAAGAATCATTTCTTGATGAACATAAACTGCATTCCGGACGCTCAAATAAATCTAATAATATTAATGCAATATAACATTTATTCCTTATTTTCAAATACAGAAACTTGATACAGTGTGTGTGTGTGTGTGTGTGTGTGTGTGTAAGTGTGTCTGTGTGTGTGTGTGTGTATAAGTGTGTGTGTGTGTGTGTGTGTAAGTGTGTGTGTGTGTGTGTGTGTATGTGTGTGTGTGTGTGTGTGTGTGTGTGTGTGTGTGTGTGTGTGTGTGTGTGTGAGTATTTGTGAGTATTTGTGAGTATGTGTGTGTTAGTGTGTGTGAGTGTGTGGGTGTGAGTGTGTGTGTGCGCGGTATGTGTAAGTGTAAGTCTGAATACATATCAAATAAAGAGCAAATCTTTTCTTCCGTTTCGCCCTAGCCGGCAGCCGTCCACTCGTCAGCCGCTGGCTCCCTGGTCTCCCCCGCCGCCTCCGCTTCCTCCAGTCGCAGCCTCAGCCTGTGGGCAGAGTGGAGGTGAGTGGAATGGACATGAACATGAATATAATCAGAAGATAAACTGTAAAAGGGGAAGAAAAAATTAAAGAAGATTAAAAGAAAAGAGAAGACAATAGAGAGAGGATGGGGAAGAGAGAGATAGATGGATAGAGAGAGAGAGAGAGATAAAAAAGAGAGAGAGAAAGCGAAAGGGAGAGGAAGGGAGAGAGAGAGAAGAAACAGAAAGAGAGTGAAAGAGTGAAAAGCTAGATAATT